AAAATAATAATAATAATAATAACAATAATAACTATAAAAAAAATAATAATAATAATAATGATCCAACAGGTAGTCCCCAAAGGGCGGAATGGTGACAGACAACAGCAGCATGACCAACAAGAAGATCGGCTCGGGTGACGGGGGAGGCGGTGGGGGTGGCCAACAGCACTATCCACATCACCACCATCACCACCATCATAGCAGCGGCAACAACAACAGCCCCGCGTCGCCGAACAACACGACGGGTTACATGGGCACGACGGCGGTGAGCAACGTTGGGTACCGCAACAAGGGCTACAAGGACGACGGCACGGACGGTCTGCCCCCCGAGCCGCAAAAGCCACCCCATCTGCCCGAGGACGACGGCCAATCGCGGAAGTTTGAGCTGTCGCGAAGCGAAAAGTGGCGGATCCTCAAGAACATTGGAACGGTCTCGGTGGCCTTTATGGTCCAATTCACCGCGTTCCAGGGCACGGCGAATCTCCAATCGTCGATAAACGCGAGCGACGGCCTCGGCACCGTGTCCCTCTCGGCCATCTACGCGGCCCTCGTCCTCAGCTGCATCTTCGTACCCACGTTCGTCATCAAGAGGCTCACCGTCAAGTGGACCCTCTGCCTCTCCATGCTCTGCTACGCCCCGTACATCGGCCTGCAGTTCTACCCCAGGTTCTACACCCTCGTGCCCGCCGGTGTGCTCCTCGGCCTCGGGGCCGCCCCCATGTGGGCCGCCAAGGCCACCTACCTCACCCAATGCGGGGGCGTCTACGCCAAACTCACCGACGAGCCGGCCGACGCGATAGTCGTCCGGTTCTTTGGCTTTTTCTTCCTCGCCTGGCAGACGGCCGAGCTCTGGGGCAACCTCATCTCCTCGCTTGGTGAGTTTGCTATACTACACGCGTCCATCCCGATCATGCTCCCTCGACAGAGAGTATACAAAAACACGCAAAAATATACGTTGGGTATATTTATGTATCTCTAGTCGCCGAACTGGCGCCTCGTCGGCTTGTCGGTCCTGCCGATCTGCCGCTTGTTGCTCGGATCGGTATCGGTGCTCGTTGTAATGCGCAGTTAAATTATACATGCATCTCCCCGCAGGAGACTCGTTGCGTACGCGTTGACTGTAAAATAAAGTGATTCTCGCTTTGGCAGCCAACAACAACTAATTCTGATTTTTTTTTTTTTTTTTTTTTTTTTTTTTTTTTTTTTTTTTTTTTTTT